AAATAAAGACGAGACCATGGCCCTGGTTACATGGCTCAGTGGATTGAGTACAGGCCTGTGAACTGAAGGATTGCTGGTTCAATTCCCCATCAGGGCACATGCCTGGGTTGCACTCCAGGTCCCAGTTGGGGGTGTGCGAAAAGCAACCAATTGATATATCTCTCACACATCAATGTTTCTCTCCCTCTCTCCCTCCCTTCCCCTCTCTCTAGAAATGAATAAATAAAATCTTTAAAAAAAAAGAAGAGGAGATTGTGAAGCTAAAGGTAAATATGAATCATCATATAACAGAGACACCTAAAAATATAACATGGAGATATAGGACATTATAATAATAAGTAAGAATAAGATGTGACACCATCTTATGACAATAATAAGATGTCATATTATCTTACCTCCATAAAATAAATTTAAATTTTAAGACTAGCTTAAATAAAATCAAATTTCAGATATGCTAATTTTCAGTTTCAGAAAACCTAGAAACATTTTCCTCCTTGGCTTCTCTCCCAATTTTCCTGTGACTTAACTGTGTTGGGAACCACCCTGCCTGGTTTCAGAGGCTGGAACCCCCCATGGCTAAGACTGAGTAAAAAGACCTTGGGACCATAAACCACTAAGGAGACAAAACTTATCCTCACAGCAGGGGCCCAACCTCTGTCCTTTACTTCACCCTGCTTGGCCCCTGGAGGATGGCTGGATGGTCAGTGATGGGTAAGATTCCTCAAGGGAGGGACAGCATAAGACAGGCAGTCTCAATGGGACCATCAGGGAAGGACTTGGGGGGCTATAGAAAAAAGGGTGATGGACCTTCACCCCTGGGCTTTGTTATTACCTGAGTCCTCATTCTGTCTGTGAGAAGTCTCCTAATCTTTTGGCTGCCTTACTTCCCCCCACCTGACTTAAGCCTAAAACAATGCTGGTGCAGCCGTGTACTGAAACAGGTGGTTCCCGGGGCAATCAGGCTTAAGAAAGAATGCATAAAATCCTGTGAAACCTACTTTGTTAAGAATGCCCTCAATGTAAATGTTAAGGGTCCAAGCATAAAATGAATTTATTTTCCCAAAGTTTTATGGCCCTTTGGCATCTATTTGACTCTGACTCAGAATAAGCCCTTATAGTTCTTTGAATGTTATCTATTCCTTGATCATTACTGCTCATCATTGACAATGATTGGTAAGCTTTACGTATACACCCTGTATTCCTATGCAAACTAAACCCAATAAAAGCCCATTGAGAAAGAGGCTCAAAGCCTTTCTCCTCTGAGAGACTGGTCAGCCTTTCCTCCCCAAACAGATTATGTCTTGGTAGGTTTAGTCTCATCTGCAGCAACCGGGGGAACTCTGCAGGCAGAGCCCCCTCACATAACTGTTCTACAAGGTCACATTTCTGCTCATAAAACATCCGTTTCCTCAAGCACTCACTTTTAGCCTTTTCTCCTTTTCACTCTACAAATACTCCCAAGCCTGATCTTCCATTCTTACGGCTTTCAACACCTCAAATTTCCTCTTCCAGTCTCAGATATCCATATTTCCTACAACTAATTGTTTACCTGGAACCATCATGAACACCTCAATTTTAACAAATTCAAAACGGATCTCCCCCTAAAATGCCTCTGGCCTTTTTGTTTTGTTTCCCTTGATAGACAGATGGCAATGCCATTAATTACCCAAACTAGGAAAACTAAATTGATCTTAACTCCAGTCTTTCCTCATCTCCCCCAAAGTATGTCAACTCTACTAAAGCAGTGTCTCTGAATTCCCTCCCTTGCTGCCCTCATCTACATCTTCATTAAGGCAGTAATTCAGGCCCTAACTGGTTCTCCCCTGAACCACTACAACTTTCTTCTGAGTAATTATCCAGCTTCCAATATCCCCCCAAGCAGACATTCCTGATCTGTTTTTCAGACTGCCAGAAGAATAATCATGCTAAAACACATCTGATTACTTCACTTTTAAGAAACCTCCAATAGCATTCCGCTGAACTTAGACATCTTTGCATACTATACAGGATTCTTCTAACCAGACCCCAGCCTACCTTCCAAGCTTCAACTCTAGCTGCTCCCAGTGGTAGACCATAAACCAATAAGAGCTATATAAAGCTCACTTCTATACTTTTGTTTAAACCACCACCCACCCCAGCTCCAAGTGGAGCTGCTTTCTCCTCTGTAGTCCTATACCACCTCAGGTGGGTCTAGATCATCGTGTTATTAATGTCCATTGTTATGGTAAGAACCTAATAGAACAACATGGTTAAGTCTGTGGTTCTGGAACAAAAATATCTGGGTTCAAATCCCAGTTAGGTAGCTATATCTGTTTATTCATCTATAAAATAGAGATAATTTTACATATCAAGTTTTTATGCAAATAAATTATGAGAGAATGAAACTGCTAGCTGACTGCCTGGAACAAAGAAACGGCTCAATAAATGTTAGCTATTGTAATTTCATGTCCCTTCCAAGACCGAGAGCTATTCAAGGGCTGGAATAAAATTTCATTCACTATTCCCACCCCCACACACTTAATACCAGGCTTCAACTGAATTGGCAATTTTGAGGCATTTAACACCCACACCATGGCCACTCTGATACCTAATAAAATGCTTCTCCTTAATTATCTGGAAGGTGAATAACTATTACATTATAATGGAGATACACTTAAACCTAAAAGAAAACAGGCAGTAAAATTGGGCATATATATTTAAATTACATAATTTAAATATAAACTTATATAATAAATTTAAATATAAACAAGATAAAATATTTTTAAATATTTAAAATAGATATTTAAATTTCTATAAATAGAAATTATATATTTAAAATGTTCACTTTCAGTTTTTTAACAATCTTCCTAATAGAAGTACACATATATCAAAATGGAATTCATAATGTATTTCCTACAAAGTTTAAAGTTAGGCAATCAGATAGGTGGTGATTTGGATGAACAGCATTTTAGGACCCTTAAAGTTTTCATAGTTCTGGTTTCCAAAATGTCTCGGAGTCACAGCCGTCATTAAAGCTTAGATAAGGCATTAAAAACAAAACTACTTTCCGCTCTCTCTTTCCCTTTACCTATTTCCTTGTTCTAACATTAAGTCAATGCTTTCCTCACATCACACTGTAGTAAAGAGTAGACTTGAAAGATGAAAAAAATAGAGATAAAATATAAAAAGTAAATAACAAAATAAAAAATATATAACAAAATAACAAAAAAGGCACAGAAAATCTGTAAATGAGACTCTAAATACTAAACACTTCAAATTAAATTTTCCATTGATTTAAATAGGGGAAGGAGGCATCTTCATAACTGCATTTTCATAACTCTCCACGCTATTTTCAAATATAGGAGGTAATATGAGTACAGGTTAACAGCATAGCCTTTAGGGTCAGATATTAAGCCCAAGTACAGCCTTTACTTGAACCCACAAGTTCTGCCACTTAATTAGCTATATAACTTTTGCAACCTTGGATTCATCAACCCCAAAATGAGGATAATAAGAATTAGATGAGATAATGTATGTAGAAAGCACTCAGCTTATTGCATGACAAAGAACAAGCACTCAGTAAATCTTATATGTCATTATGATGATTTTCCTTAAATTTTACTTTTCATAAATGATGGTACGTGCATAGAATGGAATTCTATTTCAACCATTTAAAACATGAGATAGTTCTATGCTTACTGATTTGGAATTATTTCCAAGATATACTAAATAAAAAATAAATGAAAGGAACATAACAGTGTACAGCATGTTCCACTTCTACTTTTTATGCAGATATTTATATACATTTATATTTGTACATACATAGAATGTCTCTGGAAGAACACATATGCAACCACTATTACAGGTTGCCTCTGGGGATGAAAACTAAGTGGCTAACAGGTAGAAATGGAAGAGTCTTAGATTGACTGGACTCCTTGCACCTTTTGAGTTCTGTATAATTTGCTTTTAGTGCCTATTCCAAATATCAAAGTTTATAGGATGATCCACACCTTATGCTACCCAAATATTCCATTATAAAGTGGATTATACTAGACTTTGCAGAAACACCTAAGGTGACTTAACCATAGTTCTGTACTCATTTCAAATCTATTGAGGATTAACAGTCAAAGACTGATAGAGCTTTTGCTAAATTAGCCAATAAGAATCAAATAAGATATACAATTGAGGGTTCTTGGACATGAAAAAAAACCTAAGTATATGGATAGAAAAGACAAGAATAACGTCGTTCGTTCGGTCATTCATTCATTCATTTATTCATTCAAAAAACACATCTGCCCACCGAACACTGTGCCAAGTGATGAGGAAACAATGACACCTGGTCCTTGACTTTGAGAAACCCGCAATTTAGTGGGAACATACGAATAGAGCAGTAAAATTAGCACTCCTGTGGGCTTGGTTATTTAAGGATATGTGCATTCATTCATGAACACATAACAACTGAATGAATAAAGCAAGCCCAGTGGAAAAAAAATATATACCCCACTGAAGCCTGTAGTAGCTTGAAAATAATTTTGTAATCTACCCTTCAATCTGCGAATGCTAGTGGGCGTGCGTTCTCAGAATCCCAAGAAGGAGAAGTCCCCCTGGGGTTCCAGGCGTGGCTTTAGATCCAGTGCCTGTTCATCAGCCCAGAGAGCTTGGGAAGGCGTAGGATGGAAGGGTTCCCGGTCCCAACCTTACAACAGCATCCCTTATAGTCAGGTACTCCAACACCTGGGCTCACCAGGTCTTAGCTCTCTAACAGTCAGGACGGAACAAACTCTGGGGCGAGCTCTGACCTTCAAAATGACACTGGGCCAGCTCCCATAATGCTCAGGGCTCCTTCAAACACAGGCAGTAACAGAAGGACAGCAGCGATTGAAACTAATTCCTCTCCAGAGCCCGAAAACCCTGAAACCAGGAGGCAGCTTGGGGGGAAATCGAGACGGAAGAGTGATTGACCTAATCACATTCCCAGTCCTAAGCAGTCGACTCGCCCTACTCATGGCACCGTCACTGACCTTTCCAAAAGGGGTTCCCAGGGGCGGTGGCCGGAGGGGTGAAAGCAGCTGCCCAGGCTCTGCACCCAACACATCTCCCTCTCAAACGGCTTTGCACTAATCGCAGGGTAACCAAGGGCGACCAGGAGGCCGCCATTTTGAGCTCCGTACAAGGGGAAGAAGAGGAAAACTTTTTTGAAACCCAGTAGAGAGACGATGGCACAGACACATTCAACTGCGCTAGCAGAATGCTCTGCCCGAGAGAAGGAAAAACAGCAGCCCAGGAACGCGACCTCCAGTAACGAGGGGGCGGTCCGGATGCCCGTGCCCTTCCGTCCTTTAGAACGCTGCCAGCTGGGACTACGACTCCCAGCATGCAGTGCGGAAACGCCGGGGGCGGAGCGGAGGGCGGGGCGGGCAGCTCAGGCCTCGATGAATGGGGCAATTCTGAGCCCAACGTTCGGAGCAGACGAACCCGAACGTTTTCAAGAAATTAGAAATGGAGTGTGACGTATAACCACTCCTAAGCCTTTTCAATTAGCATACCTGACCGAGATTCTGAAACCTAAATAAAATGTGGGTGACTCAATGGGCCCTCATATTGTAAGGAAATATTGTTACCTGGTCACACCTCCCTAAATAGTAGCCCCAATTTTTTTTCTTTTTTTCGTCTCGAGCGCCCAGCTCATCTTTGGCAGAGTACCTGAAGTGTGTTCCTACCACTTTTGTTTCCTGTATAAGAATAGCATATATCATTTTCAGTGTGTTATACGCCCAAATGTTTTGAAAGAATTACAAGTGACGTGGGAAAGCCAGTGGCCTGAGATAAACAGTGAGTGGAGGGAGTGGGCAGGGTCAGTGTATCCAAAGAAAAGTTTCTACGTGATCTGCCCTAATTGTATTAAACAAAAAATGCTTTGAGGCACTATAATGAATGTATTGGGAATACAAATTAATGTCCAAAAGAGGCAGGCAATCCAGTAGGGGTGTGAAGAAAGACAAAAGACTCTACCAAGTGCTGTGGAATCAATGAAAGAGGACTTCGGGGAAATCTAGAAGCTTTACTTTTAAGTGAAAATGAAGACATTCCAAGAATTCAGTGTGTGAGCTCAGGCAGGCAGGCAAGGAATCTGGAGTAAAGGAGAAGACCAAGTTGCAGCTGTGTGGAAACCAAATGAAAAGACTTCAGTAGAAAGAGTTCTAGCAAGTTAGGCCATTGGCCCACAATACAAGAGTGACCCCAAAGAAATAGGAAAAGCAGAGCACAGCATGATATAATGATTTAGAGACCTCACTACTAACTGTCAAGTCATTTATGGAAAAATTAATTTAATTGTATATTTCAAAATAAGTTCATTTACATTTATTAGATGTTTTCTATCCTTAATTTTATTGTTTGATATGACAAACTATTGCTCCATGCTGTGGTGAATTAGGGATTTTTAAAAATTTATTTCACTCACTGTTATGTATTTTTGGTGTGATACTTTGTGAAACACCTTTCGAAATATTAGAGTGTTTCTTTCTTGACTTACATATTCATTATACTCAAAAGAATTTCTAGGTACATTTTCTTTTGCACTGGAAAAACAATTCTTTACCTTGTTCAATAAAAATACATTTTATGAGAGATTTCAACAGCTTCCTAATTATGGAAGTGACATAAGTATTCATAGATAGTTTAATGTCAAATTGGCAGGAAAATCTAAAGAAAATTTTCACATGCTGTGCAAGTGGACAGAAATGTGGCAAATGAGCTTTATTGTGTACAAGTATAATATAACGTATACAGAAATAACTTAGGTTACATGTGAATAAGAATTCTCTGTGACCAGACACTAAGTAGGCATTGTAAATTATTTTATTAAAACATTAAGTCTGTGCTCCTGCTATTCCTGCAATTGCTAAGACAAATTTTTTAAAAATAGCCCTAAAGAAAATTTTAACATCGTAAGAATAGGAACAAATCAGAAAACATCATCTTGTCTTTATTTAAAGATCTCCATAAAGTGCCAATTCTGTCATCTAATCTCAAAGACAAAACCAGACAGGAAGTACACAGAGAAAGAAAACAAACAATAAAAGAAGTAGGAAAAAGTGGTCAGTGAAGAACAGGAGTCAAAAGATGTATGTGGGTTCTGCTTTTGTCACTAACATAAACTCTTATATTCTGTTTTCCTCCAGGAATCTACTTGGTTCATTTCCTCATGTCCTTACTTTGTTATGATACCTTCTCAGGTAAGGCCTTCCCAAACTACCTGTAGAAATTCTCAGTCACGCCCAGCACACCCTTTCCTCCTTCCCAGCTCTATTTTCTCCACAACACTTACTATCATCTGGCATAATAGACACTTTATCAATTTATTAACATATCTGTTCTTATTACTCTTTCTGTATTTTAAGCACATGTGAGCAGGGATTTATGTCTGTTTCGTTCACTGATGTATCCCCAGAGCCTAGAATAATGCCTAGGCTCAAAGACACTCAGTAAATACTTGTTGGATGACTAAATGAGCAATCCTAGGAAAAATACAAAGCTTATTATTATTGTAGTTTTTCTGCAAAAAAAGCAGAATACCTGCTTCATGAAATCAGTGATACTGCTAATATTTTTGAGCCCATTTTAAAGATGAATAACAATACACTATTTTAATATCACAGAAGTAACTGGAAAACAACTAAATGGCCCTTGTTTACCAATTACATTTCCTCTGACTTAACAAAGAACACTTTAGAGCTATAAGAAATATGGTTCACATGAAGACAGGTAAGGAATGATATGTCAAATATCTAGCTCCTAATTCCGACACTTGTATTTAAAGATCCCAAACCAAAAATATAATTTAGATCAATTTCTACAAGTTGAATAAATCGTGTAAGTGCCTTATGAACTGTGAAAAATATAACTTCAAAACAAGATATACCTACCTCAATAATATATATTTGTGTGAAGTATAGAGAGATTTTGTTGCAAGCAGTATATTCCTTCTAATAAGTAAGAATTATATACTTGCTAACCTTGTAACAAATGTTACCACTTTTTTATTTTACTGAAACATTGTCTGACTTGTAACTCAAGACTGTCCAAAAACAATATTTGAAGTCAAGTTCAATGCTCAAATCTTTATTTAGTTTCTTTCTGCATATTTTCATAAGAGATTAAAATAACTTGTTGTTTTGTTTTCCAGTTTTGAATATCTTTTTCTTAAAAAAATTTTTTTAACCCAATGACAATATGTATGTATTTACATACATACATACTGTGGTCAAATGTGATCTATTTGATCACATTTGAATGCCTCCCTACTCTATACAGAATGAAATACAATCTCATTGAGCTTCACAATGATTGAAGCTCACAAAGCTTCAATACATTGAAGCTTCAATGTATTGAGCTTCACAAATAATAGACATGAGTTAAGGGCATGTACTTTAACGTGGCTTGTAATTTTGATCACATCCAGCAAAACTCTGACTTCAGGGGACTTTGGGGGGCAGTGGAAGTATTTGATTTTTCTTTATTTTAATTTTTCTTGTATATTTTATTGATTATGCTATTAGAGTTGTCCTAGTTTTTCCCCCTTTTGCCACCCTCCACCTGGTACCCCCTTCCCTCTAGCATTCCCCTCCTTAAGTCATGTCTGTGAGTCATGCAACTAAGTTCTTTGGCCTCTCCATTTCCTTTACTATTCTTAACAACTCCCTGTCTATATCGGACCTACCATTTACGCTTCTTATTCCCTGTACCTTTTCCCCCATTCTCCCCCTTCTCCTCCCAGCTGATAACCCTCCAAATAACCTCCATTCCTGCGGTTCTGTTCCTGTTCTGGTTGTTTGCTTAGTTTGTTTTGGTTTTTGTTTTATAGATTCAGTTGTTAATAGTTGTAAGTTTGTTGTCATTTTACTGTTCCTAATTTTGATCTTCTACTTTTTCTTTAACAAGTTCCTTTAACATTACATATAATAAGGGCTTGGTGATGATGAATTCCTTTAACTTGACCTTCTCTGGGAAACACTTTATCTGCCCTTCCCTTCTAAATGATAACTTTGCTGGAGAGAGTAATCTTGAATGTAGGTCCTTGCTTTTCATGACTTGGAATACTTCTTTCCAGCCCCTTCTTGTTTGCCAGGGTGGTTTTGAGAAATCAGCTCATAGCCTTATGGGAACTCCTTTGTAGGTAACTCTCTGTTTTTCTCTTGCTGCTTTTAAGATTCTCTCTTTATCTTTCCCCTTTGGCATTTTAATTATGGTGTGTCTTAGTGTGGTCCTCTTTGGATCTAACTTGGTTAGGATTGTCTGTGCTTCCTGAACTTGTATGTCTATTCGCATCACCAAATTAGGGAATTTTTCTTTCACTAATTTTTCAAATAAGTTTTCAATTCCTTGCTCTTCTTTTCCTCCTTCTGGAATCTCTATGATTCAGGAATTGGTACATTCAAAGTGCTCCCAGACTTTTCTAGGCCTCTCCTCATTTTTTGAATTCTTGTGTCTTCTTTCTGTTCTGGTTGATTGTTCATTTATTCCTTTCATTCCAGATCACTGATTTGAATCTCAGCTTCCTTCCCTTCAGTGCTGGTTCCCTGTATATTTTTCTTTATGTCACTTAGTGTAATCTTCCTTTATGTTGTTGCCGTACTCTGCATATGGCAGGGTCTTTTGAGCATGCTGTTCACCAGTGTTTTGAACTCTGCATCTGATAGGTTGGCTATCTCTATTTCATTTAGTTCTTTTTATGGGGTTTTGTTCTGTTCTGTCAGTTGGGCCATATTTCTTTGTTTCCTCAACTTGGCAGCCTTCCTGTGGTGTTTCCGTGTGTTAGGTAGAGCTACTTTGACTCCCTGTCTTAGTAGCATGGCCTGTGCAGAAAAGGCATCTGAAAATCATGTGCAGCAGAGCTTTGTAATTGCGAAGGGCAGGGCAACCTGCTTCACCGCTCTGTGGCTGTGTGTGGAGGGGTGGGGCTTGGAGAGAGGTCAGTGCCACTGCCCGACTTCTGGAGGCCAGCTGGCCGCCAGCCCTACTTCCAGTTACCTCATCTACCTCCTGTATGTGATTGACGCCCATCCTGCTGTGGGGTTTGCATACATTCTAAGACTGTACAGGCCCTTCAAGTGGCAAAAATCCGGCATTTTCTTCTGTTTTTTTCAGCCAGAGGTAATGGAGGTTTATCTTCCTGATACTGGAGGCTATGCCGCCTGGCCTGGGCCTGGGATTGCTCCCTCCCAAGGTATCCCTCCTGATTTTTATCCACCACACATGAAAGTGGGACTTTCTGTTCCACCGCTGCCACCACCACCTCTCCACACTGCACTGTGTCCTCTCCTGGTTCTACGACTCTACCCCTCCTACC